ACTCCCAGATCTGACAGCCCGGTATGCCGCGAGAGCCCGAGATAACCGACTGGCCTCTGAAACCGCCCCCAGCTTCTCGAGGTGTCGCTTCAAGATTTTGGCGACCCCCGCCCAAAAATCCGCGCTGGCCTCAACGGCTCCCTGACAGACCCCCCGCTCCTGCGATAGCGTTCTCGACGACTCGGCTGCGCCTGGGGCGATAGGTGGCCCGGGGGGGATCCTACAGGAACCACCGGTGGAGAGCTGGAGCGAGAGCAGCACGGGGACATGGTCGGACAACCCCATCGAGGTCCGCAGGGGGCCCGATCGTTTTGGCGGCAGGGTTGATATCACACAGGTCGGCCGCGGGCAAACTGACGAAATCCGATCCAAACGTCCCCAGGATTCGACCGCTGTCCGCTCGCCTCTCCTGCCTTCCACTCTGCGAGTGGACGAAGCTTGGTCCACTTCGGCCGCGCGCGGAAAAAGACGGTCGACCTCCTCGGCGGTCGACTGACCGCTCGAAATAAATATACCGTCGTCGCGGCGCGAACCTCCACAACGGGCTGGGAAGTTAAAGTCACCGAACACAATATGTGCTGCGTTAGTGGCAGGCACCGGGGCACGACGGCCACGACGAAGCTGGTTTTGTTTGGAGATGGGCCGGCGGTTATGAGCTAGATGAACATTTACAACTTGAAGACACTACTTAGCACCGTAAAATATGAGACTGTGTGTACGACCGTCCTCGCTAATGTCGTTCGCGATTAGCTTGTGCGAAGAGCCCCTGGAGTTTGGGATGGACAAGGATGAGACAGCCACCCGAGGTAGTGGAGTCCAGAAACGCACCGACACCACCAAAAGCTTGATAAACTTCTTTGCAGAGGTACCCTAGGTGCTCCTGCGACCCCCTGGCTCCCTGGATACAGACTACGTGCCTGGAACACAGCGAAAACAGCTTGTTGCATATAGCCCGAAAGTGGCACCGAAGAATGAGAGCGCGTTCCACGCACAGATAGAGGAAGGCTGGGCGGGGACAGAGGGCATGCGCTGCTCGAAGGAGGGACCAGAACGATCAGAGCGCCTTGAAGACGAGAGCGAGGAAGCCATAGAAGACGAGTCGCCCGAGCTCGAAGAGGCCGAACTGGAGGAAGAGGAAGTCGAGTGAACATCCGCGGCATTGCCGGCAGCTTGAAAGGAAGGTCGTTCCTACTTGGGAAGAACGACTGCGGCCATGGCTTCAGCCTTCGGCTTGTCGATGCCGAAGACCGCCAGATTCTCGAACTCGGGCGATACCTCGAACTGGTTAATTCCGAGCTCTTTGACATTGGACAGGAGATTGTGCTCGTCGTTCTCGATCACGAAGAGCGTGCCATTGAAGATCTGGCAGCCGAGCTTCATGCCACTGCGCCATCCGTTGTTCCCGAAGATGATCCGACACGCGCGACCACAGCAAGCCCAGCGCCTTGTTACGACGCCTAACCGAGGATGTTGCATCCAATCGAGCCATCATGGCGACTCGAGTCGCCGTCTTCGGGTGCGTCCAGCACATACCCTCGGATCTCACCAGGTCACCGACCTCGCGAGCGAGCAAGCCCCTCCTCGAACTCGACGCTGAAAGAGGAGTTGAGGTTGTGAGCCCTCGTCGTGAAGTTAATGCTGGCAGGCACCAGCCCCTGAGTCTTGATCGTGTCGGCGAGAGCGGTCGTCACCTCGGCGAGGACTGGCCTTGGGAATCAACCTACCCACAACTTGCAAGGGTTGCTGTCAGCTGCGCGGGAGCCGTCAGCTTCATCAACACCGAGTCCTGCCACCGAGATGCGCGCCCGCGTGGACCCTGCTAGAGGAGATGCGAAACTTGAGCTGCCGCGAGAGTCGCAGGCCACCTTCCCAGAAAGCTCCTTCAGCTGCTGCGCGGTGTTGCCGACCTGGCTCTGAAGGCGTTTGATGACGTCGGCCTCGGCAAGGTTTTCGAGCATGGCGCTCATCACGTCGGTGGTGGCCTGCATGGTCGTCATCCTATCGCTCATCTCCGTGAGCTTCTGGTGGTGTACGTGAATCTCTTGCTTGAGGACCTGCACGTCAGTGAGCTGCTCCTCGACGCGAGCCATTCGTCCACCAAGACCCTCGATGCCCGCAAGGATCTGCGCGATTGGGTCGGCGCTGGCGGCAGCCGCTATGGGGCCACACACAAAATGAGGTGGCGAAGGGGTGACAATGTCCACCTAGGTCTGACCCCAGATCGCCCTCTGAAGAAAGATGCCGCGCTCACAAATGGCATGTCCCCGTCTTGAGCCAAAATGGCATCGGAAGGATGAGGAGGAGGAGGAGGAGGCGGGGATGAGTCGAAGGAGAAGGAGAAGGAGGAGGGAGGAGAAGGAGGAGGGGGAAAGAGAAGGAAGGAAAGTGGAAGGGAGGAGGGCGGACGAGGAGGAACAGCCACCTCTCGAGCGCCCCTGGGCGTCGAGGGCTCTCACAGCAGCCCGCCACCGCGGTCCCAGGACAGCTTGTGGCCCATAGGCGGTTCCTTCACGACCTCGCCGCGGGGGAACCAAGATCTCCGACGATGTGATTTGTTGAGTCCCTCTGCTGTTCCCCGATTTGGGACCCCAGAGCCCGTAATCGGGCCCTGGGGCCATCAAAAAATAGGTCCAGGACGAAAAGCCTCCGCCCCCCCGGGGAACGGGTCGGGACGTCTGGGGCCGCGCGCTGAAAACTATACATCGTCGGGTGTGCGGGAAAGGGGGCCGCAGGAAGCCGAGACCCCCGACGCAAGACGAAGGCAGGGTGCTACGAGGCTGGGACATATGCACATCCACCGCCTGGGAAATCGATCTTCATGAAGAGGGGACGTGGGACGGGAGGGTGCGTTACAGCGTCGTTGACGCATCGTGGGTGTACTCTGGTCCTCTTCCTCATCCTCCTCCTCCTCCTCCGCCTCCTCCTTCTCCTCTTCCTCCTCCTCCTCAACCTTTTCCTCATCCTCCTCCTCCTCCTCCTCCTCCTCCTCCTCCTCCTCCTCCTCCTCCTCCTCCCCTTCCTCCCTCCCTTCCTCCCTCCCTCCCTCCCTCCATCCCCCCCTCCCCCCCTTCCCTCGTTCAGCCATTAATTCATCCATCCATCCATCCAGTTGGCTCATCTAGCCAGACTTCGAGTTGTGCCCTGGTTGTGCCGAGAGTCAGGGTAAGGGGGCCGAACGGTCGTCCATTGTCCCTGGGTGCGTTGCTGAAGTGGGGATCCGTGGTGAGGATTCTGCTTTTTGCGTTGTTGTTGAATGGTGATTACAAAACAATTATTATTGTTGGACCCCCCCCCAGGCGCTTTGACGCTCTCGCCTCGGCGCCGGCTACACTTTCATTGAAAATGAGGCTCACCCTCGAGCGGTTCGGGGGGGCGCCAAAACCGGCCCCCCAAACAACAACAACAACAACAACAACAACAACAACAACAACAACAACAACAACAACAACAACAACAACAACAACAGCAGCGACAACAACAACAACAACAACAACAACAACAACAACAATAACACTCCCGCTCGAGACGTCCTCCTTTGTTACTCAGGGCCAGGGTTCTTGCTCGCCGCCGAAAGCCGCCGTCCCAACAAAACCAGCGCTACCGCTCGAGACTTCCTCCCGTTTTACCTTGGACTGGCGCGCTACTCTTTCTCTCATCGGCGCCGCCCCCAGAAACAACAACGCTCCCGCTCGAGACGCCATCTCGTTTTTCTCAAGGCGGTGCTCCTCTTCGCCGCCGAAACCGCCGTCCCGACAAGACCAACGCTCCCGCCCGAGACTTACACCCGTTTTCCGCTGGATGCTCTCTTTAAACATACCGCCGCTCCCAGCAAGAACAACGCTCCCACTCGAGGCTCCCTCCCTTTTTCCTCAGGACGGTGCTGTTCCTCGCCGCCGACAACCCCGTTTCGACAAAACCACGGTTCCCGCTCGAGACTTCCGCCCGTCTTACTCAAGGCGGTGTTCATCCTCGCCGCCGACAACCGCCGTCCCATCAAAACCAGCGTTCCCGCTCGAGGCTTCGCTTGGTTCACGCTGGATTAACGCCCTACTATCTTCAGCATTGGCGCCGCTCCCAGCAGCAATAGCGGCCCTGCTCGAAACTTCCTCCCTTTCTATTCAGGGCCAGGTCCTTGCCTCGCCCGACAGCCCCCATCCCCACCAAGGGAATCCTGTCGCTCGATACTTCCTTGTGTTTTCCCCGAGGATGGGGCTCCACTGGCGGTCTCGCCTCGGCGCAGCAAGGCGCGGGCATGCGTTTTCGAGGCGGGATCTGTTGAAACTATTCGGAAGAGGCGTTTGTAAGACTTCATTGGGCGGGATATTCGGGAATGGGAATAACGGGCCCAGCTATGGAACAATAATCCCCCATGGTGGGGATGTTTATCATGATGGTCGCATGCTTCGTGTGGAAACATCGCGCATGAAGGTGAGAGGATTGTTGAATTCTCACTTCTGAAGAATAATTATAATTGATCCCCCTCACCGGTGCATGCTGCCTCGACGCTCGCACCATGTTTTTTGACAGGGAAAATCTTCCTGCTCAAACTGGCCCCCTGGCCCCCGGGTTACAACAACAACGGTTCCCGCCTGAGACTTCCTTACAATTTAGCCAGGACCCCCGCTCCCGCCCAAGATTTCCTAGCATTTTATTCAGGAATCGCGCTCTCGCTTGGGACTTCTTTACAATGTATGCAGGAATCGCTCTCCCGGCGCTCTGGAGTCGCGCTCTCGCTGGAGACATGCTTGCAATTTACTGAAGAATGGCCTTGCGTTGGAATTTCCTGCAATTTGCCCAAGCGCCGCGCTCCCGACACCCAGGCCAGGAGCGCTCCCGACACCCAGGAACCCAGGAGTCGTGCCCGTTGTGGCCCCATGTGCATGCCCTTCGTGGCCCCGCTGTCGCCATTTGCGCCCCCCCCAGTGTCCTACGTGGCCCAGTTGCTACCCTCAGTGGCCCCATAGTTGCCTTCTGTGGCCCCGCATTATCTGCACTTCGTGGCCCCCGCTCGTTCGCGCTCTTCGTGGCCCCATACGCATTCCCTTCGTGTCCCCGCTGTCGCCCTTCGTGGCCTACTTCGTGCCCTTCGTGGCCCTGCTGTCGTTCTCTCTCGCTCTCGCTTTCGCTCGTCGTCGCCGTCGTCGTCGTCGTCGCCGTCGTCGTCGTCGACGTCGTCGTCGTCGTCGTCGTCGTGGTCGGTCCCCTGTCCGTCCCTCTTGGGGTCGGGTCGACGGTCCGCGGCCGCCCCGCCGATCAGCGCTGCCGCTGGCCAGGCCGACGGTCCGCGGCCGCCCCGCCGCTTGCCGGGGCCCGGCCTGCAGGGAAGAAAGGTATACCCCCCAAAAGGGGTTCGATCGAAGACGAAGAGGGCGGGTGTCGAGGGTTTGGGAAATACGCGTGACTGGACACTCGAGCATATAAGGGCGAACAGTTTTGAAATTAGTGTTGTTGTTGTTGTTGATGATGTTGTTGTTGGTTGTTGTTGGTGGTGGTGATGGACTCTCATTATTGAAAAAATATAGTTGGTCCCCCCTCTGGTGCACATTGTATTTTTCAATTGAAGTGCCCTTCCGGGGTTCGCACCTTGTTTTTTTGATCAGGGAAAATATTGAGGCTCAAACTGTGCCCCTGGCCCCCCGGTTACAACAACAACGGCTCCCGCCTGAGACTTCCTCAATTTAGCCAGGACCCCCGCTCCCGCCTAAGACTTCCTCGCATGTTACTCAAGAGTCGAGCTTTCGCATGGGACTTCCTTACAGTGCATACAGGAATCTTTCCTTCGGCGCTCTGGAGTCACGCTCTCGCTGAAGACTCGCTTGCAATCTACTCAAGAATAGCTCCCTTGCGTTTGAATTTTCCGCAATTTACTCAAGCGCCGCGCTCCCAACACTCAGGCACCCAGGAGTCGCGCTCACGCTTAGGACTCCCTCACAGATGACTTCGGAATCGGGATCTCGTTGCCCTTCGTGGCCCCGTTGCAGCCCTTCGTGGCCCCGTTGCATGCCCTTCGTGGCCCCGTTGCAGCCCTTCGTGGCCCCCTCGCTGCCCTTCGTGGCTCCCGTTGCAGCCCTTCGTGGCCCCCTCGCTGCCCTTCGTGGCTCCGTTGCGGCCCTTCGTGGCCCCCTCGCTGCCCTTCGTGGCCCCGTTGCAGCCCTTCGTGGCCTCCTCGCTGCCATTCATGGCCCCGTTGCATGCCCTGCGTGGCCCCGTTGCAGCCCTTCGTGGCCCCCTCGCTGCCCTTCGTGGCCCCGTTGCAGCCCTTCGTGGGCCCTCTCGCTGTCCTTCGTGGCCCTGTTGCAGCCCTTCGTGGCCCCCTCGCTGCCCTTCGAAGCCCCGTTGCAGCCCATCGTGGACCCCTCGCTGCCCGTCGTGGCCCCATACGCTTGCCCTTCGTGGTCCCGTTGCAGCCCTTCGTGGTCCCGTTGCATGCCCTTCGTGGCCCCGTTGCATGCCGTTCGTGACCCCGTTGCAGCCCTTCGTGGCCCCCTCGCTGCCCGTCGTGGCCCCGTTGCAGCCCTTCGTGGCCCCCATCGCTGCCATTCGTGGCCCCGATGCAGCCTTTCATGGCCCCCTCGCTGCCCTTCCTGGCGCTATATATATATATATATATATATATATATATATATATGCATGCCCTTCGTGGCCTCCGCTCGTTCGCGCCCGTCGTGGCCCCATGCGCATGCCATTCGTGGCCCCGCTGTCGCCCTTCGTAGCCCCCTCGCTGTCTTACGTGGCCCATTTGCAGCCTTTCGTGGCCCCCTCGTTGCAGTCAGTGGCCCCGTCATTGCCTTCTGTGGCCCCGCATTATGTGCATTCCCTTCGTGGCCTACTTCGTGCCCTTCGTCGCCCTGCTGTCGTTCTCTCTCTCGCTCTCGTTTTCGCTCGTCGTCGTCGTCGCCGTCGACGTCGACGTCGTCGTCGTCGACGTCGTCGTCGTCGTGGTCGGTCCCCTGACCGTCCCTCTTGGGGTCGGGTTGCCGCCGATCAGCGCTGCCGCTGGTCAGGCCGACGGTCCGCGGCCGCCCCGCCGCTTGTCGGGGCCCGGCCTGCAGGGAAGAAAGGTATACCCCCAAAAGGGGTACGATCGACGACGACCAGGGCGGGCATCGAGGGTTTGGGAAGTACGCGTTAACGGATGATTGCTGTTGTTGCTGTTTGTCGTCGTCGTCCCACCCACGACCCACCCGCGATCCACCCCGCGACCCACCCCGCGACCCACCCCGCGACCCCACCCGCGACCCACCCGCGACCCAACCCGCGACCCACCCGCGACCCACCCCGCGACCCACCCCGCGACCCCACCCGCGACCCACCCGCGACCCACCCGCGACCTACCCCGCGACCCACCCGCGACCCACCCTCGACCCACCCGCGACCCAACAGCGACCCACCCGCGAGCCACTTGCGACCCACGCGACCCCACCCGCGACCCACCCGCGCGACCCCGCGACCCGCCCGCGACCCAACAGCGACCCACCCGCGACCCACCCGCGACCCACC